ACGTGTCTTGGCAGCTTCCTCAGGCAGACCACTCCAGTTGAAATCATCTAACTACACCTAGAGACCACTGCATGGAGACAGACAAGCGTCATGCTAACTAGCCTGGCAATGATTTCTGTGTGATAGACAAGGAAGCTCAGATACATCTGTCTGGATGTCTGGAACCCACATCTTCAAAAGCATCCTCTAACTACAAGTGTCTCAAGCTTCAAGTGTCCAGCCTAGAGTGGCTGACCTACAGGGAGGGCTGAGCATCACTTTATCTGAAGTCAGTGGTGGCTGCAGGCTATTAGCACCTTTGGAATAAACTACTCTGGGTCAATAAATCTCACTGGGTTTAACTGAGGTCGAGCAAACGGGCTGAAAGTGCCCCAGAACAGTTTGTGCTTATCTAGGCAGCACCAGGAAGAGCTGAAGCATCCAGAAAGGCTATGGGGCTACGGAACAGAGTAGAAAAGGAGGTCATCTCTGAACTTCTCCAGGCCCTTGAGGGGCCTCAAAGGAAATGTCTTGACTTCTCCTCCCAACTTTCCTTCCCCTTCCTCATCCCACCTCTATTCTTAGCAGCTTTGTCTGAGAGCTGGAAATAGAGCAATGGTTTCTTAATTCCTCACCTCCCGTTACCTCATATTTTGGGTCAGACCACTCAGGGTGGTGGCAGAGGTTTTAACCTCACATGGAGCTGTTCGTATTTACACAAAGACTGCTTTCCCATTAAGTAGGCTTTCCTTGGCTACTGGGACATTGGCTATAGGCATGAGATCAGTCTGATTTGGTACCAAAGATTGACCTCCTCCTAACAACATTACAGGGTCCTGAAAATGCCCAGATCTTCAGCTCAGCACTCACCAGTGCGCAATCAGTGCCCGTTACCTGTTCTGATGCTCCACAAATCCTGTTGTTGGCACAACACACAAACCAGAACTCACTGCTCTTCCTTCCCTGCTGCATTCAACAGGACCAGTGAATTATACCTCAAGATGAAACTGGCTCAACAAGACGGGCAGCTTGCAGGGCTGATGGCCAGGGGAGTCTCACCTGCATTGCTGCCAGCAGGCAGCAATAGGAGATACCCAGTCCCCAGCTCTGCTGTTGGGAGTCAGTTCCCATTGCAAAAACAAGTGGAAAACACTGGTGCCCTCCTTCCTTAGTCCCATTACTACCTACTCTATCTACCCCATCTAATCATCATGACATCTGAGTGCCTTTGTGTGTCAGCTTCCTGTGAAGTAATCACCTAAATCCCTCTTGGAAACAAAGCAGACCCTGCTGAGGAACTCACAATAGGTGCCTTTCACTCGCAGGACAACCTTGGCCTCGGTGGCACTTACAACAAAGCTTCCATATGTGCACCAGCATGGGCTGATCAGTCAGATCAACCCCACACAGCATCAGAGCCTGGATATTTGTGAGCACAGAGCAGAAGAGCCTCACGAAATTCCCCATCTTCCTGGCCAATTGTTCAGACAAGATAAAACTGGAAATGCTCCAGCACATACAGCACATATACATCCCTGTGGGTTGGTGCCACAGCCTTCACCCGTCCCTATGGGTCGGTGCCCCGGCCTTCACCTCCACCATGGGTCAGTGCCACAGCCTTCACCCAGCCTTGTGGGTCTGTTTGGGGCAATAAAAGAGAAGCCCCAGCTCTGAGGGGTGATGTCTGTTGGTTGGCCCCATTCTCAGAGCCTCCCCAGCCATTGTTTGCTCTTCAACCCCAGGCCAGGGCTACTTCTTCATTTTCCCAGTGGCAGGTATCCTGTTTTTCCCCTCCGTGGGGCAGGGATCAAGGATGATAAGTTCTGTTCTAACAGGAGACAAGGAAGCGATAACATTTGGGCACCTACAGTGAAGAGGTATTTCTGTGCCCTGACTGTGATTAGATACAGAATGGATCAATGAATGATCTCACTGTTTGACTGTTATAGCATCATTCATTAGCGCTAAGATTTCAAGCTGAATCAACAATTGAGTTAGGAGATTGAAAGAATCATCTTCGGTATTTGAAATAACTGGTAACAGGCCTGTGAAAGTCCCCTGAGATGTCTCTCTTTCTCTCCCTATATATATATAGATCACTCTTGCTGCACATTTCAGACGAGGTGAAAGTTGCTGAGCTCCTGCATCCAAAGCAGGAAAAGCAAGAGGGAAGAAAGAGACAAATGCATTGCGGGTTCGTCTATCAAAGCACTTCAAGAGCATTCCTGACTGCAGTATCCAGGCACTAACTTGTTATTCAGGCTCTTAGCATCTCTCTCATACATAACAATGCAAAAAGAGCTAATAATAAACACTCTGCCCCTCCTATACACAAACACACACACAGGCACTTAGGAACCACTTGTAAATGAGCAGCACGGAGCCCATGCGCTGCTGCTGTCAGAAACCCAGGGTGAGCTCACTCCCAGCTAACTGCTTGGTGCACAGAGCCCCCGCATTTACCCACAGGACTTAGGCACCAAGTTTTAACTCTCAGCTCTTCCCCATCCTTTCCTTTCTGGATCAAAGACTCCTCCACTCACTACCGATTTGTTAAGAAATTAAATGTGAAAGAAGAAAGCAATTCCACAACTGGGCAAAGAACCCTTGTGGGCAGCCAGTGATTAATTAGCATTAGAATACCAGGCAGCCTGGTTTCCCTGCAGAACCTTGGGTTGATAGCTCTTTTTTTAGTTCTCTAGAGGAAATATTCCGTTGGCACAGGACCATGCAAAGCATCAGTGCCAAAACCTTTCCTCCTTCTTGCTGAAAGGCAGGGAGTAGAAGCAGCTATAAAACACCCTGTGGACCAGCTGATCCTAAACCAAGACTCGTGTCCTACAGCCCGATCAGTGCACCGTCCTCCCCATGGGGACAGGTATTTCAGTGCTTGCCCACCTCCCAGCTCTGTTAGTCCCATTGCCCCTTAGTCTAGCAGGCGTAAACCCCAAGGTCAGCTCACTTGGACCCATATCCCTCTCTTGGCACAATTGCAGGCTGATTTAGACACAGGATGATGTTTAACCTGTTGGGTGATCAAGGAGAAAATTTACCTCCCTGCTGCAGCTTGAACAACTTTTTCCTGCGACTGTTGCCCAGCTCTATAAAATCCACACAGCTCTTCCTGTTGGCTTGCAGAAAAAGAGAGCAATAAAACAATATCCCCATTTTTATGAAGTACCTCCCTACATAACTAGTGGTAGCGTAAATACGTGCCAAGCCAGCACGTACTGGGAGAAAGAAGATCGCAATGATGGGAGGAACAGAGGTGGCTGGCTGCAGCAGAACATAATGAGCACACAATCAGCATAGAGAAATTTCTCTAATGGTGGTGTCATTTAAATAATCCCTTTACTGTAATAGCTTTCTATCTGGTTCCTTCTCCGCAATTATTAGAGGTCAGTTTTGAAATCAGAGTTGCCCATGTAAGAGCACCCTGAGTCATTTACTAACTATAAATAATTAAACCCCAAAGCAAACAGCAGCCAAAATCAATGCTGTCAACCCGTATTCTGCCTGTTGCCCTGACATTACCGCTACTATGGCTGAAACTGAAGTCAAGTGCTGATGTGTAACGTGTTCACACTGAGAAAGTCCGAAAGAGGAGACATCCACCCCTGAGCCTGCATCCCATCCCTCCCGGATTGCCTGTGCCATTAGTGTGAAGGCAGTTTATTGCTGAAAGGCATCAGCCACCTGCATGGGGCACTCGGCAGCACAATGAGCTGCCAGCCAAGGCAGCTGGGCATGAAGTGACAGCAGCTCCATGGTTGACATCTGTAAGGCTGACTCGGGTGAGCAGAGGTTTGGAGAAGACAACCTTTACACTAGGGGCTCTCCCTTGGTGGCTCTGTAAAGCTCCGTGCACACAGCCCTGCAACACCAGTCGAGCCATACATAACAACTACACCAACAGAGTCTTATTTACTGATGGTAAAGAAGGACATTTGCTTGGAAGTGCTCACCTGGGAGTTGCTGCTGGCTTCCAATACCTACAGAAGAGATGCTGCCCATCAGCGTTGACGATGTGGGGCAGGTCCTTGTACGGGATGTTTTGAGGACTCCGCTTTGGAGAACTTTCCTCTGGCATTCTGGCAGAGTGACCTGCACGGTGTTGGAAGAGACAAGACATGCTTTAAACCAGGTGAAGGCAAGGAAGAGCCGATGGGCTTGGCAGCCACAGACATTGAAAGTCAGCCAGCAAGGCAAGCACGGCTGATGGGAGTCTCCCTCCAAAACCCCAGCCAAAAAGCCCCCCAAAATTGTACTGCTTTAAAACAGCAATGTAGCATTTTGTGTCCAGAAAAGGCTCACATTTTGGGAGGAGGGCGTTGGGGGGGGGGGAAGGAGGGAAGATCAATCCACCATCGCTACTTCATTAGAGCTTTCTCTCCCCCACTTCTCCCATCTGTGTTTATTTTGCATCATTTTGTGAAACGGCTCCTAAAAAGAATATTGGAGCTGCAATCAAGTGCGGATTGTGCAGCAGCAGCCACAGAGCTGAAAAGACAGCTGCATGAAAGATTTATCTCTGCCTCAACATCTCCGAAGCCCAGCGGCGGGTACGCAGCAGAGGCATCTCCCACCGTGTCATCATCATTAAGATCTCCTCTGACATCTCCGACAGGAAGGTGGCGGCGGTGGGGAACGCGGCGTTTCCAGGAGGATTCGCGACAAACCTGCTTTCATCCTGTGCGAGGGTTTGCATTCTAGTGAGGAGCCGGCATCGCAAGTCAGGCACAAGCACAGCAGAAGCCTTTTCGCATCTCGCTTACGGAGGCGCGCTCGCACTCCGCCAGCCGCGCAGCGCCCGCGGGTCGGTCCCGGGTGGGTGCTTTGGGGTCGGTGTCTCCCGGGGCTGCCCGCAGCTCCTGTCCCCGCTCCTTGGGGTTCTTCACCCCTTCGTGTTCATCACTTTTCTTTCCCTCTCTTTTTTTGCCTCCCTTCTCCACCAAATCGCGTGCGGGGGCTGGAGGGGCGGTGGTGGGAGGGGAGGTTGGGAAGGGTGGGAGAGAGGGAGGGCTGAGTGGGGAAGCTGCGGTCCACTAACCAGAAGCTGCTGCCCGCCCATCAAAGGCACCTTGAGCACACGCAGCGGAGCCGCTCACAAAGTTCCTGCCGCTGCAGGTTGTTTGCAACTTTTACTTCCTTCCTGCCACTTACAGTTCGGAGGCCGCGGCGGCGGGGGGGAGGCCGGGCAGGGAGGGGGAGACCTGTTTTCTCAACGCGATCCCTGCTGCGGAGCCATCTCGTGTGTGAGCGACTGCCCCGGCACCGCGCTGCCGGGCGGGGAGGGAGGGAGGGAGGGAGGGGACGAGGAGGAGGAGGAGGAAGAAGAGGAGGAGGGATCCAGGCACCGACGCGATCGCAGGTCGCAAAGCCCCTCACACGCATCCTCCCGCCGCGGGGCTGGGACCGGAGCGGCGCGGCTGCACCGCATCCGAAGGAAGGATGGAGGATGGATGATGAGCGGGCGGTGCCGCCGCTGTTCTCCGGCCCCGCGGAGCCCCCCCGAGCCGTCCCCATCCCCACGGCAGCGGCAGTGCGGGGCTGCCCGGGCGCAGGTGGGGGGTCTGGAACGCTCCTGCCGGGGGAGCAGGGCTGGGGCGGCCACGAGTGACCCCCGGAGCGGGGACGGCTTCTGTGGGCTGAATACAGAGAGGGGAGGCGGAACCCTCCGGACTTCCCCATCCCCAACCCCTCTTTGTGGCTCCAAACCCCGCTGCCTGCATTTAGACACCCAAGGAAAGATTGAGCCAGGGGGATAATTAAGAGGAGCCCCCAAGCCCCTTGCTCTGCACCCTCCTTCATAGGAAAGGCAATGTATAAATACAGTATGTAATTTATACACCCCTAATCTGATAGTGCACCTCATCACCATAGATATATGCACCACATAGGCTGCCACTGTGTAATTTGAGGTCTGTTTGGTGGTACCCGATACTTGCTCATAAAAATTGTCACAGCAAGGTTCCTCAGAGCTAAAATAGCTCCAAGCCCTAAGGCATCCCAACACTGGGTTATGTCACTTTCATACCAGTAAGAGCTTAGCATTTATTGAGCTCTTTTAAGCTGTTTATTTTAAAGGCACAGATTCAGACCTTTTACATTTCACCAGGATAATATTATAAACGTCAGTTTCTGCATGCCAGCATCTGTTTAGAGGTCTCCAGCCTTTTTAAGAAGAGGCAGCTATTAACAGTACTGTTTTAAACCTAGGCAATTGCTCACTGAGTCCAGCCCTGGGAACAAAGGCTGAAGAAAGGCAAAAAGTATACTAATAATAATACTAATAAACGCAAAAACCTCAGTGATAATCCATATAAAAAGGAAATCAAACCCAGATTTTTTCCTCTTTCAGTGTAATTTATATGAAATGCCCTGCGGACGGGGTTAGTTATAAAGAGCAAAAGCAAAATTACATGCTCTGCAACCACTACTATTAGAAAAAAAACCCAAACCCAACATTTATGGTTGTTTATAATGAGTGAGATTGGGGTCAGACGGGGTCTTCGCCAGAGCCCTGGGAGCTGTACGTGGAGGTGTACAATTTGCTGCCAGGCCAGCTCCTGTCTGCACGCAGTGGGTGGAATTAAAGAGCTATCAGTAGCCAATTCCAGGGTTGGAAGAAGCAAGGGCACATTTATTTATTCAAGGATACAGATCAGATAATAACAGGATTAAGAGGAAAAGGAAGAAGGAAAGAAGCCTCTTCCCCTGGTCACAGTTTATCTGCCAGGAGCACTTCACTGGTTCCCTGCAGCCATCCATGAATCCCTGAAACCTGATGCCAGGAGCAGGCTCCTCTCCCTCTGCGGTGCTGGGAATATCAGAGTTCCCAGGGCCACAGGGAGGTGGGGGGAGTCCAGGAAAAATCTCTTCCTAACGTTCAGGATAAAAATAGCATCTCAAAGCAAATGACCTTTGCTGGGACATGAGGGTGAGATCCTGTCATGGAGAGCCTGCCCTGGTCAGCCCAGATACACAACTCCCTTGATACCCTGCTAACCTCGATGTAGTTAATACTGGAGGCAGCAGCACTGTGGTCCAGCCTGTGGCCCAGATTCCCACCGTTGCACAGGAGTGGGGGATCAAGCAACCCCTCCTTCCTGTCTCTCCAGCTTCCCTGAGACCCCAGGAATGTGAGGACATTCCTTCTCCAGGCAGTACATCCTCCCTTGTGATACCATCATAAAAATGAATGAGGAGTGGTTGCAGAGTGGCTACCTTATTATTGGATGGAGTTTGAGGCGTGAATGAAAAGCCACCTGAGAAAAGTGGATTGGGGCTGAAGAACTCACCTAGCTGATACGCAAAGAATACACCAGGCTTAGGAGAGCAATTATTGCCAACTTGCTCCCCAGGAGAAATCAAAGGAGTGCCTCAGCATGCAGTATTAATGAGACTGTAACATCTTCTCTTGTGTTGGTGGAGTGGAATAGGGTTTGGAAATACACTTTAAGCTAAATCCACTTCTTAATAGAAACCAGAATTAGGCTTGGTGAATCTTTACACTGACTCAGTAATTGCTTATGCCTGCTAAGGAAAAAGGGGTTTGCTTTATTAAAGGCTGAGCCCTGCTTAGTTTGAGCGTCTCCATTGGCACCCAGTGTATCCACAGGAGTATAGAGAAAGGGATTACACCCTCGAATAAGGCAGATTTTAGGGAAAAAAATAAATCCCTGGAACGACAGAAAAAATGCATGGAATGAAAACTTGTTATCACAGCAAGGGAAGAAAGGGAATGGGCTAGAGAGAAGGGGGAGAGTAGGATGGATGGGAGACAGCAGAGCGGGCTGGCATGATTCTGATGGTTGGGTAAGGAATGGGGTAGGATTTTCTTTGTCATTAGGCTTTCATTCACAAAATGGATTTTTAATGGATCATATCCTGTTGGCATACAAAGACAAACAGACTGCCTGAGATCCCTGTGCTCTGGCTGATGATGCCACGCTCTTAAACTGCAAAGGAGGATTTTGGTTTGAGAAGGCGGCTGGAGGGGGTGTGGGCTTTAAACTGCTTGGGGTTCTGCTCACCAGGACCACAAAGAGCACTTCTGTTGACAAGGGGAAGGGGGAGAAATAGCAGAGGAGGAGGATACCACAATAAATCCCCTCCGAGGTGTGTGGCTATGGAAGAATCTGCTCCAGCAGAAAAAAGCTGGCAGTTACAGTAGTCAGGGAGCAGCTGGAGAGAGCAACCGACAGTGCAAGCGGGAGCACATGGGAAACAATGGGAGATGAAGCATGAAGAGGAAGAATTAAAACCAAGTGGAAAGCTAAGCAGCCGATGCTGCTGATCTGTCAGTTTAGAGTCATTATTTGGGATTTGCTCTTCTCTTTGGCTATTGTACTCATTTATTTATCCCTAGCCAGAATCAATTCATTCAGCCTTACTTATTTGTGTAATCTGCCTTTGCTGTTGGTGTTCCTGAATAAGCCATGCACAGTGATGAGACAGGAGCGGGGGCTGGGATGAACAGCTTCTGTTTTCCTGTAAAATACCTATGTAATGTCCTGCAGCCAAAAACTAAACTTGGTGTTAGGCAAAACCTGATTGAGAAGAAAATGGTAAAGGGCAATATCTTATTGATCAGGTTAAACTGAACAATGTAAAGAGAAATTATAACTACTTGACATTGGTCTGCAATTCTGCAGGCTCATGCACCTCTTCACAACTGTGCCATGTGAAACAGAGAAAGGATGAAGGGTTAGCACAGGGGTACCTGAGTACCACAGAAACTGTGTGCACTTACTGCCCATCACTTCCCCTAATGGCTGGGAATAGGATTATTAGATTAAGCTACAAGTGGTTTAATACCCCTGGATGCAAACTGCAGTCAGCTAATAAAGTGGTTTTAACATGTAAATAATTAGGGGTAAATATAGTGCTGATTTTTTATAGGTAATAAGAATTCTGCAAGTCATGCTGTCATTAGAAGTCCCTCAGAAAGCTGTGACTGCAGTCGGTAGCTGTATGAGTGAAGCGATTAGTATCTTGCCTGTGCTCCTTATTCGACAGGACCAAAAATACACACTTAAAAATACACTCCTTGAATATAGGTTTCAGTCCTTTAAACTGCTGTATAGGAGATGATCCATCCTACATAGCTGCTAATTTGAGAGCTGCTTGGTTTGCATTGCAGAAGCAACACATGTTTTGTTTAGAGGTTCATTTGTGCGTTGTAATTACAAAGCCCACAAGAATGTTAAGGCCTGATTTTGAGGCACTCTTAGTGTGAAATGCAGAAAAGGCATCCTCCAAAGGTGGGGGGATCGAAATGAAAGCTGGAACTTCTGCCCTCGCTTTGTGTGCACTGCAGGTCTCCTGCACTAGAGGGCACAGCCCCAGCACAGCCCATCCCTGCCAAATTCCCTTTCTCCGGGGTTATTATCAATTTTAGCCTTTTTCCCCTTTATCACGAGAAGGTTTATTTTAACCGCTTGTCCCTTTTTATCTCTGAAGCCCAGTATTGGTTTCTAAATAAAAGTTTCCTGTGCTGGAATATAATTAGTCCAATTTTCCCTCTGGAATCACTCCCATCACGAGAATAAACTTCAGTGGTTTATACCCTGGACAGGCACATGGCTGCAGCACTGGGAGGGAAATCCTGTCCTTGTCACTGTGAGGACACACAGATAACGAGTCCGTTACGGGATGGCATTTCCTATTTTACTGCTGGGTGACTGCATGTCACCATATTACTGTTCATGAAATGCTGGTCACCACGGTAGAAACAGGGTTTTAATGGTGGAAAATGTAAGTAAAAGGCTTCTTAAAGGCAAAGGTTCTAAGCTTTGAAATTTATTATGCATAAAAATCAGAATAAGACAACATTATACATTTTCTCCTCATGGAATTATGGTCTTAATTATGAGAAGTCCCTTACCATTCGTTTTCTCATTTCTAATACTAAGGATGACTGCATAATCTACAAACCCAGCATCACCGTACCAGGACTAAATAATACAGCCAAAAGATAGAGCTATTCAGTCATGGTTAGAGTGGTGCTTTATTTTGGTGGCCAAACTGGAAGCATTGACTGGATAAGAGTTATTATCGTGCCGCCTGGTTTTCTTGCTGCTCTGCAATCGACAAAGCATCATTTATCATCCTTTGCATCCCAATTTTTCTTTGCATGTTTTCCAGCTCATCATAACATAATTATGTTCCTGTTTCTTCCAGCCAGGGGCTGCTACTTTCTTTTCCTAAGACAACAGCTGCACTGCACAACCTTGATGAATCCCCATAAGGGTAAAATGTGTCTGTGGTGCTTGTTTCTGCCTTGGCAACCCAACTGTTCAAGCTCTTTTTTCCATGACAAATGCTGCTCTAAAATGCACCCAACCCCGGTGCTTTCACAGCACTTCTCAAAACGAGGGTTTACGTTGTAATTTAGACTTGAAATATTAAACACTCTGGCTGCTTTGTAATTGTAAAGGCTCCTTCTGTCACATTTCTTTTTATACGGTGTAGAGGTTCATAAACGCCAAGATGGGATTTTAGAGGCCACGGTTACTGATGTGCAGTTTAGGTTTTGAATGAAACTGATTTCATGGGTGAAACTCAGCCCAATCTGAAAGCCCTAAAAGGCATCTGAAGGGAGCTTTCATGGCACAGGTGAATCATTTCCTGACTTGGCCTCGGTTGGTTCAGCCACAGTGCAATGCAAAGGTCATTATACCAACCTCATCTATGCATTAACTGCTTGTGGTGGGAAATGCTGTAAGAGCCACACAGTATTTCTGTTATTACTTACTGGGATATTTCATTTAACTCTGATTTTATATTTTCAACATCAGATTTGAAAGAACTTTGGAAAGTAAAGTTTTTGTTTTAGATGGGGAAATCACAACAGGGAAAAGTAGGGCTCAATGCAGGAGGCAAGCTGAGGGCAGAATCCATTCCTAATGCTACTGATCTTATTTACCCAGTTATACCATTACTAACTCTCATCTCATCTGGAAATCTATCATCAGAGTGCTGCAAACAACTGAAGCAGTAACTTTTCCAGGCATTAGAGATTACCCAGATTTCCAGCTATAGGGAATATTGTGTCCTGGACAAAGCCAAGGCCCAGATATGTTCTTCAGGGCAGAATTTTCCCAGCAGTTTTGCTTTCTATCCTAATCTCCTGGATGTTATTCCTGCTGCCACCATCATTTCAAGATTGGTTGGGTTTTTATATAAAAATCACAATCATTCTGCACAGAGAGGCAAGAGTTTTAACTCGTATGATCAGTTCTCTTTACATGTATACATGCCATGAATTAAGGATGCCTTGGGATATCAGAGCATATCGCAACCTTTTAGTTGTGTCCACCACACTGGTTACTGATGGCGTTGCCTGGAGGACTCTTAGATGATGGGAACGATACCTGTCCAGCCAGGGCTAATTTAATCTTCTACCTATGAATGGTGAGTACAACTCTGCTGCTGCTAGAAAAGGTAGCATCTCTTTGGTTTGAATACACAGTGAATGCACAGCCCATCGGAAGAGCTTGTCTTGTGCCATTTGTTCCCTATAACCCCTATAATCTAGCAGCTTCTGCTCAGATGTATTTTAGCTTTTCTCTCATGTATCTTTGGTTTCTTCCCTCGGTCCGCTCACACATGTTCAGTGCAAGATGTGCATTTTCTCTCTGATTCACGTACAGTAATTACTTCCTAACATCTGCCTAACAGATTCTGTAAGAAAAGTAACTCTGCAAGTATTAAGGAAAAAGACATTAATGTATGAAATCTTTGAAATCTCTATTACGGGGGTTTGTTATCCACAGCTGACTGGATTCATTCCCAGCCAGGAAGCTGGATCAGCAAAACAGCTGCATTAGTTATTTAACGGGAGGCCTGATTCTGCTCTTGCTCACACTGATGTAAAGCAGGAGGAGTACCAGGGAAAATAAAGAATATCCCTAGTGCAAAATGCGTGTTGGAGGAAAACTAAGTGTTATGGTAGGGAACAACAGGAGAACTCTAGCAGATGTTCTGCCACCCTGGAATAGTTGTGGCTTAATGTCTTATAGAAACCTCATGCCAAATACATGCTCCTGGGAGTGTTCTCCTGTATATATATTGTGGTGGCACCAAATGCCCAACAAAATTAAGGCTCATTTGTGCTCAGTGTTGCTCCTTAATGCCATGAATTCACATGTGACCTACTCTGAACTGAGCACCACGTTCATTACTGTTTGCATGATTGTTCCCTCTCAGTTATTTAACTTTTAACAATATTTGCTGCAATTTCCTTTATCCCTTCTGGTGCAGGGAAGCACTCACTGCTTTTCCTCTTAGGCTGAATTAGTGCTTGTATTAATTAGCCTAGAAGTATACTTGGAGAAGGGGGATGTGAAATGAGGAGCACTGCGGTGAAAAAAGGGGGCAAAGCATCCATATGCAAAGCATTTCCTCTGCAAGATGACAATGCCATATATCTCAGGACAACATGGGATTGTTACCAGAGCCTCATGTACTTTGGAGATGGACAGCTTCAATCCTCAAGGCTATCAGCACCCTTTGTATTTGATCTCATGGTGAATTAGCAGCATGTGCTGTTAATAACATCAAAAGTTACTGTGTCTGAGAGCTCACCCCCAACTCTCATCCTGTTCCTCCAACACAAGGTAGCTATTATATCTTGGCTACAGTCGTGGGTTCCCATGTAATGAAGGTATCTGTGGTTTGGTTTGGGCTTTGGAGTCAAGAGCATCTGCAGTTGCTGCGGGCTGGTAACGTTGGGTCAGGTTCCTGTTACAGACCCACCAGTGGGGCTTCCTGAACTCCTGCAGGTAGGAACCTCTCAGTTCACAGTACTATGCTTTGATACCAGCATATGTTTATTATTGTTACTTGTTGGCTTTTCCTAGTATATTCCTGAATTCTCTCTGGAGTTACTGTAACTTTTTAAATGGTTAAATGGTTTAAATGGGATGGGGTTACAGCAGCATCCATGCTTTGGTTTAAAACAAGGATAAACTCCTAGGCATTGAATTCTGGAGCTCATTCTGAAATGAGACAAAAATGAAACCAATCCTACAAGGTCTGCATGAGTCCAAAACCTCCCTCTGCAGCCCAGTTCAGGCACGTATCCCAGACTGAACCCACCGTATAACGTTCTGCCATAGAATCATCATCACAGAATCCCAGCCTGGTTTGGGCTGAAGGGACCTTAAGGCTCATCTGGTTCCAACCCTTGCCATGGGCAGGGACACCTTCCGCTAGAGCAGCTTGCTCCAACCCCTGTGTCCAACCTGGCCTTGAACACTGTGGGCCGCAACTTCTCAGGCAACCTGTTCCAATGTCTCGCCACCCTCACCATGGCTCACCTGCCTCCACCTCTGCTCCCAGTTTCTGATCTCTTCATCAATACATTCTGCAGCAAACAAGGATTTCTGGGGCAGCTTCAGTAGGATCAGAACAATATCCTGGTGCTGCTTTGTGAGTGCGATGGATTCATTCAGCACAGCACCCTGTGGCCATTCATATCTCCCTGATGATCCAATATATTTTGAATTATCAATCTGAGGTGGTTTTTTTTCCCCACTAGACAATACCCAACTGTATTGAAAGAGCCGTTGGGATTGAGCCAGAGAATTTGGCAGCGAGATATGGAACATTTGGGCTTTCAACGCTTAGGAACATATGGAAAGAGGTTTGGAAGATTGCCACATGGGGTGGAACTTGGAAGATACTGCATTTCATCCTTCTTTTGTGAACAGAGGTAGAAGAAACTTTATCTTCTGGGGGGAATCCTCATTCCCGTTCATTTCCTATGATGTGCTGCTGCTCCGGAATAAACCACTCTGCAAGGTGTGAACAAAATCAGCTGCATGTTTATGGGCAACTAATTCATGAGGTCCCTCGCAGGTGGACTCAGGGAGGTGGAAACCAGCCCGGGGCTGGTTGGGAATTGGGCATCACTCTCAGACCCTGCATTCTGGTTACAGCCTGATGTTTCTTGCCACAAGTTCATCGTGGTTCTTTATCTTGCACTTTCATGTGAGAGTTCGTTTCAACACATGCAGCCAAATAATGGTGAGACAGGGCAAGTTCCTGTTGTTTCTTTGCTAATAGCAGGCTGGGGGTCAGCAAGGTATCCCTATCTAAGGAAAGGAGTGAGTGAAGGCGAAGAAGATGACATCCAAGAACAGGAACTGAGCAGGGAGGAATTGGTGACCACAGCAGAGGAAAGAGCATCTCCTCCAAAGGCATTCAAAGACCTGTGGCAATAGCTCTTAAGGACAGACTGTGTAAGTCAGGAAAGCAAAAGGAAATGGGCAAACGCCAAATCATTTGAATGGGATTTCTTTTAGAATGAAATATCTGCCTTTCTGAATAAAGCCTGGAAAAAGACCAGGTGAGTTTCAAGCATTTCTTAAGCCTTATATCCTGTGGCTGCAGCATCTCTGAGCCAGCTAAAATCCGATTTGCAATGTTTCTGATACTTTCCTTCTCCTCACAACACAGACTGCGGGAAACATCAGTTGTATCTGCTTTCTGTGACCATAATGGCCCCAAGTTCCACAAGTGGGTACATACTTTCCTTCCCGAGTTTCACTTTTGGTGCCCATTTAGAAATGTTTTTGACCCTAACACAGTTATAACCATCTTTTTCTTAGATTAAAAAGAACCAAAACTAATGTACAGAACGACCTCTCTGTAAATCCCATCTGCTCCATGCCTCTCTGCATCTCCATTCCCATCTCTACTGATCTAAAAGGAATAGAAATGCTCTTCTATCAGCCCATTCCTTCTGACAGCTACTCGAGGTAGCTTCACACTGGGACAGTTTCATTTGCAGAGAAAAATACTGGTGGATGTTGAGCTCCTGGATTGTGGCACCGCTGCAAAAACATTAGGTTCCTCTTTATACCAAAGGGCCAGCAGTACAGCCTTGATCAGGCTGTCTGTTCACTAGAAATCAGGGAATAGTTTGCCTAAAAGCACCTGACAGTGCAGAATAACTCAGTAATAACTGATTATCAGGGCAGCAGGAGGCAAGCCCCAGAAGAAAGGCTGTAGGTGCAGTTAGAAACCCTGGTGAGTAGTTGACTTTGAGGGCTTTCTTTTGCCCTTTTTCTTTACTTTAAGACCCCCTGAATTTGATGGAGGCTCTTTCATGTGAAAGACAGAAAGAACGACAAATTAAGCAACATCCAGCTCCTAATGTGTGAAGCTGCAATTCGCATACATCACGGCAGCTGCTGAGCCGGGCCCCATTACCTCCCCTGGAGCGTTAATTTAGCCCCAACTTCCTCATTTATTGAAATGAGAAAGCAGCGGGGGGCTGGCACGCCCCGATGGCTGTCAGGAAACCTGGGAACCCTCTCGACAGAGCCAGGAAGAGATCTCGATTCCAAGGGAATGCAGGGGAGCTGCCCACAGGATCAGTGGCCATGGGCGAGCACGAGATTGCCCTTAGTCTGCTCCAAAG